TAATAAAACAAACCCAGAAAGAAACATTATTATAAAAAAGAAAACGCATTTATAATGAGGCTAATATAAGATTATCTATCATTACTGCATTGGAAAAACATAAATTTTGATGATAACGCAAATGTTATTTATGAAACTTTTTTTAAGCATTTTTTTCTGTTTAAGAAGTTAATTTCCCAATAGTAGAAAAAACAGTAGCAACTAAGAATATCAATACACCTTGGATTACTAAAGGTTTTAAAAAATCATCAAGAATAAAACAAAAGTTATACATAAATTTTTAAAAATCAAAAATAGCTTCAAGCAAAAAATTCTATATAAACTAAAAGAACCTATTTGAAAAAATTCGCAAAAACAAAAAGAAAATTTATTACTCCCAATTATTAAATACATATAAAAACGACACAAATAGCACGTGGCAATCTAAATCCATAATAAAGTTAATTTAGTTAGAATAATAAAGTTGGATTAAAGTCCTAAACCAACTTTATTATTCATTTATACATAGTTATTTAAATTATGCTTATATTGCTTGAGGAAATACAGAAAAAAGTTGTAACGTCTTTATCTCCGTCAAAAATGCGCAATCCGTATAATTAATTTTGCAAATCGCTTCTCTCATTCGAAGCATTATTTAACTGAAATGAGAATTCTGAATATTTACGAGTTAAATGTATTTAATATTTTATGTTTTGTATATTATCTGGATAAATCCCTAGTTATCTTCAAAGATCTTTTCTCTTTTAAACCAGTCAGTAAATATATTTTGAGAAATAATAACCTTTTAAATGAACCTTTTTGTCAAACAAACTTTAATCAATTTTGTATTACCTATCGAGCACCTCACCTTTGGAATAAAATTGTTTTGGCGAATTTTAATTTTGAAGTACCAATAACTTTTTTCCTTTTTAAAAAAAACTGAAAAACCTCGTTCTTTTTTTAGGTAATATAATGAGTTATTATTAGTAGTAAAAGTTAAAAATATATTTTTGTCTACTTTTTTTTTATTGTTTATATACATGTTTATGTTTATAGAAGTTTATTCCTACTTATTTTTTTTATTGTTCTTATACTTTTTACTTTTTTATATATATGTTGGTTTACTCTTGTATAAAAATCTTATGAGTAGATCCTCTTGATCTTTCTTCAGACACAGGTTGTTTGTCTTGCAATTTTGTAAAAGTTTATTAATTTTATTTTATTTTGTCTTTGTTAAATGCTTTTTTAAGGTACTAACAACAAGATCCTTGCGATCTTCTTTCAGATAACTTGTTTGTGTTTGTTATGTTTTATATCATTGTAAGTTTATATTATTATTTTAATTATGGGTTATTTAAAGCTGCACAACGATTAACAAATGTAAAAAAAAAAAAAGAAGAATTTTCTAGAAAGTCTCATTCCATATCTTATTTTAGACGATGCAAGGCTAGGTAACCTAAAAAAGCTTGTTTGTAAGGTTTGTAAGTTCAATCACCTTGTTCACAAATAGCCAAAAGAATGTTTGAAAATGCTGAGATTTATACCTGTCAACGTAACTATATTGTTGGTTTTAGTAAATTACACACTGAAGGTCCTGTAAATATAACGCTGAGCCATCACCTTCAACTCAAACAGTATCAAAACATGAAATATTTCATGTCTAACAGTGTTGGAGATTGCTTTGAAATATATGGTAAAATTGAAATTGTTAGAAATATTTTAAAACCAACTGCCAGCAATCATAATGCTTTTATTCTTTTTTTGAAAATAAACTTGAATTTATCATTATACAGGCCTCTTTTTCTTTGTAGTCTTAAAAACTTTCTACTTACTGAAAATGACTTTATTTTACGACTTTTAATCCCCAGGAGCTGATCCATTTACATTGCTCGGTGAACATGCAGAAGTAACCGTTTGTTATTTTTATTTTATAAAATCTTTTTTTCTTTGCTCTTGCTTAGCATACCTGTTTTTTTAAACCCATTTTTTGAGTAAACTACTCAAAAACATCAATTAGTCAAAGTAAATATTGATAAAGATCATTTGGCACTGTTTCAGTTGCCTACCCCTATTAATTTATGATTAATAATGATAAAGAGTTTAATAAAAAAAAAAAATTGTTTTTCTTCATTTTAGGATAAATTAAAAAAAAAAATTATCTTATATATTTCTTCATTTTAGTATAATTTTTTCTTCATTTTCATTTTAGTGTAATTTCTTTGTTCATTTTAGTATAGTTTTTTAAAAAAAAATTATACTAAAATGAAGAAAATGGCAATTTTTAGCGTTTTTATTTAATTTTTTAAACTTTAGCATCAAATTAGAGAGCTTGCCTGAAATTTTCAAGTCAATATTTTTATAGGTCTTAAATCCGGAGTAGCAGCTGAGATGAAGCTATTGAACAAAAAGTGCTTATACACAGATTGCTACGGCCACTCTTTAAACCTTGCCGTCGGTGATGTCATCAAAAATATTCCAAGTCTCAATGAAACTTTTGGAGCAGCTTATGAAATTTGCAAACTTATCAAAAAATCACCTAAAAGAAATTCCAAAGTTGATGTTATTCGAGAACTAACATAGTGCAATTCAAAGTCTATCCGTAAAATTTGTCCAACATGACGGACAGTGCGTGGCAATGTTCTTGAATCGTTTCTAGAAAACTATCGCGAGCTAATGGAGATGGTCATTGCAAGAGTTGAATGATACCGAAATGAAAGCGAGAATTCGGGGAGTGAAGTTTGTTATTTCGACATTTAGCTTTATCTTTTGTTGCTATTTAGGGGAATGCCTCCTGAAACGAACAGACACTCTAAGGAAGGCACTCCAAGGTCAAAGTATTTTGGCAGCGGAAGGACATAATTTAGCATCTCAAGCCATTAATGTTCTGAAAAGATTTCGAAGCAGCAAAATTTACCATTTGTTTTTGGAACGTGCTATGAAATGGAAAACCCAGCTTGGTGTCGCTGACCCTAAATTCTCGAGAAAAAGGAAAATGCCAGATTATTTAAAAACAACTCTTAACCCACAAAAAACCTCTTATTTCCATGATTCACCAAAAAAACATAAGGTATATATTGATCTTCAGGAAGTTCTGCTCAAGTCAATAAAAAGTGAATGATAGGAAAATCATCTACAATCAGTTTGTCATTTTTACTGTCAAGACATTAACCAATCTTTAGCTAAAACACAAATTTCTCTTCTCCCAAGCATTGCAACATCATAAGGTTACTACGTCAAAAAATTCGCTATCAAAGATCTCTTTTTTTTTTCAAAAGATCACTCACAACGAAATAGAGATTGCCAAGCTAACTCTTGTCATGCCAGCTACTAATGCTCTTAAGACTTTTCTCCGCTTTAAAAAGAGTTAAAATCTAACTTCGATCGACAACAACAGATTCCTGCCTAAACAACTTGCTAGTTCTTCATACTCACGAATAAGTAGTGGACAAAATTGATTTGGTTGAGATTGCAAATGAGTTTATTAATAAATCTCAAACACGAATAAACATTTTCGGAAATTTCAGTTAGCATTTTTGTCGAGATAAACGATGTTTGATGCAAGTATTACATTTTTTATTTGTTTCAAAGATGTGTAGTTTAATGATCATAAAATATGCATTATAAATGAAAATCAAAACTTTTCGTTACTCCCTATATATACCAAAATTGCGGTTACGGATCTATATATATATATATATATATATATATATATATATATATATATATATATATATATATATATATATATATATATATATATATATATATATATATATATATATATATATATATATATATATATATATATATATATATATATATATATATATATGTATATATATATATATATATATATATATATATATATATATATATATATATATATATATATATATATATATATAAATTGACTAAAAAAATGACAGAAAAAAAAAAAAAATGTCCTAAAGACTATTTTGGGGTCCCTTTATCTAGCACTGCCCCCAGTATAATTTTTGTTCCTACAGGCCTGATATATACCCCTGTTAAAAAAGAAGCAAATATTATTTATAAAGTTTTATTAAATAAATCTTCAATGCAATGTATTCTTGCATCTTAAGAAAAATATGGTTTCCAAAACAACTTTCTGACGCCTAAACAACCTTCATTTGGAGAACATTCGTGACACTGTATTTCCAAAGACTCTCCAACCTTTCATCTAAATAATCTGCCTCTACTTTAATTGTGTTTTTTTCATTTCAGCCAAAGTCCCCATGAAAATTTTCGGCTGTGACGCAGTGGTTAGATCGCTGCTTTAGAAGCAAAAAATTAAGGGTTTGAAAGAAGCCATTAGACATTCATTTCTCACTATCGGTAAAGAACTTCCTAGTTAAATACTCTTCCGCGTACTCTGTGGCAAGACTTCTTCCAAGGACTTCTTGGGGCATCTAAAAATAAAAAAACTGTTTTTCAATTTCCATCAAAAGTATGTCTTCAATATTGGCAAATCGATGTTGGCTAAACCTTGAAACAAAGCTTTGTTTAATCTATATAAAATTTTCACATGAACACTTCAGTTTGCAGACTCCAGGAGTAGTTAGGATATGCCGATTCTGGGGGCATTTTCATTTTCAACCAAATTTTCAACCATAAATTAATATTAATATAGGGTTCAATGTTAACCATATTGTATATAAATTATTTCAACAAGAAATAATTTTTTATTTTAAAAAAATTCAATTTTTTAAAATAAGTGTTAATTTTTATTTCTTGTTATGAAATATTATGAAAAATTCTTGCATGACGTCACAGGTCACGTGATTTTTCTTAATAATAAATATTATCTGGTGTTTTTAACTTTTCTTCTTCTAATCTTTCCTTTTCTAACTTTTCCCATTGTAATTTAAATTGTTTTTGCAAATAACGAGCTAAACTTAATCTTCTTTTATAACTCATAAATTTCTTAACTTCATCTTTACTTGTACAATCTATTTTTTTAATTTATGTAAAGAAATTAAATTTTCAATTTTTTTTCTTGCTTCTTATTTATATCCTATAGAACGTAAATATTTTACTACTTCAAGGTGATTATTTTCTATAGCAATATAAATTATCCATTTATCACCTTTATATCCTAATTCATGTAAATATTTAACTACTTCAAGATGACCTTCTTCTGCAGCAGAATTAATTGTCCATTTGTCACATTTATATCCTAATTCATGTAAATATTTAACTACTTCAAGGTGACCATTTTCTGCAGCTTTATTTATTGCACATGTTGAACTTTTATACCCTAATTCATGTAAATACTTTACTACTTCAAGGTGACCATTTTCTGCAGCTTTATCTATTGCATCTTCTGTACCTTTATATCCTAATTCATGCAAATATTTAACTACTTCAAGGTGACCATTTTCTGCAGCTTTATCTATTGCATCTTCTGTACCTTTATATCCTAATGAATGTAAATATTTTACTACTTCAAGATGACCATTTTTAGCAACACAATCAATAGTCCAATCATAACATTTATACCCTAATTCATGTAAATATTTTAATATTTCAAAGTGGTTATTTATAGCAGCATAACTAATTGCTAATTTGTCACCTTTATATCCTATTTCAAGTAAATATTTTACTACTTCAAAGTGACCATTTATAGCAGCAGAACTAATTGCACATTTTCATATTTATACTTAAATTTATTTAATTGTTGCTCTAATTCAAAGTCATAATTTTCAGTAGCATAATTAATTGCTAATTCTTCATATTAATACTTTAATTTATGCAAATATTTTACTAATTCAAGGTTATCATTTTCTATAGCGCGATTAATTGCTTTTAATATTTTAATAACATTATTTTTATTATTATTTTTTTTTTCTTCGTCTTCCATTATTTTTAGGTACACAAGAAAATTATTTAAATCATTTTCAATTTTTTTTAATGCGCATGCGCTAGATTTTTATTTATAAATTCTTTATTTTATCTAATATTTGTCTTATTACTTCTATTAAATATTTTGTTTTTGGCTTTGATATTTCTACATTTTCTTCATTGAATAATTTTTTCAACGTATCACTTGTTGATATTTCTACATTTTCTACATTTTCTTCATTTTCTTCATTGCATAATTTTATCAACATATCCCTTGTTGATATCATTTCACTCTCTAATATTAATAATTCCGGTCTCAGTAATTCTAATAATTCTTTTTTATCATTATGATTATATATACTATGATTATATAAATTATTTATTATTAACTTTATGTATTCTAATTTTGATTTTAGTTCTGATCCTAATTGTGTATTTGTTTCTTTACTGAATTTTTCAGATTTGAATTTTAAATCTTTACTCATTACTTCTAATCTTTTTTTAAAGTTTAAATATGTTGGATTAGTTATTTCTTTTTTCTTATTTTCTATTAATAATTGATCTTTAGTAATTTCTTCTCCTTCTAAACTTACAGTTATTTTTCTTTTTTTAAAATGTTTTAAAAATGATTTTATTGGTTTTAATTCTTTTGTTATATTTTCTATTTCTTCAACTTCTTTTTGAATGTCATTTTCTATTTCTTCAACTTCTTTTTGAATGTCATTTTCAATCTTTTTTAATTCTTCTATTTCTTTTTTCTTTTTTTCTAATTTTTCAGATTTTAATTTTAAATCTTTACTCATCTAATCCTTTTTTTAAGTGTAAATATTTTGGATTAATTATTTTGTTTTGCATTTCGTTTTCCATTCTTTTTTATATACACAAGAAAATTATTTAACTCATTTTCAATTTTTTTTTATTTTTTTAATGCGCATGCGTTATTTTTTTATGCCTAGTAGTGCTTAAGCATAGTAGAAACATTGTCCTATCAGTGCAGCATAGCTTCCAGATTGTCCAACTTGTGCATCACCAGAGTTGAGTGTCACTACCATTCTTCTACCTTTACCAACGCTAGGCATACTTTCAGATGAATTAAAGTTTCTATAAAATGAAATTGTAGTTGTTGAACCAATTATACTAGTTGATTGATTCAACAATCCTGATACTTCATTATTAAATGAGCTTACATTAGATCCATTCCATGAAGAGAGATAAAAATCTTCTAAACCTGATGAAGCGTAGATGCATCGACTGTTAACATCATATCCAGAAAATGTAGTATATCCATTATTATTATAAGGTGTCCAAGGTTGAATGACAGAGTTAGTTTTAGTAGGAGCGCCATATCCATCATAGATGCGAACTCTAGATTCCCACCAGTCTCCAGATCCTCCAACAACATGCATTCTTATGTATTTCAAATACACTCCGTTTCCATTATCCATAACATTCATTAGTATATATTCACTACCATAAGTTGTATTTACATATCTAAATGTTGTTGAGTACAACTTAATAGTTGAGATAGATCGAGGTATTAGAGGATTAATACTAGTTAATGCTTGTTGTAACGATGAAGTTCTTGTGATAAAAGGTTGTAACCAAAAGGTCACTGAATTTCCTGTTCTATTGTATAATTGTATATTCAAACTTGATGTAAAAGGAAGATCAAATGTAAAATATCCTCCTAATGCACTACTACTAAATACATTACATCCTTGTAAAGGGTTTGCATAATAGGATCCACCAAGTGGTGCAATTAATAAATCACAAGCTAAAGCTGTATTATTAATACCTACACCATCTGTTACAATAGAATCATTACCTATGCAAAGTACATTGTCAGCATATATTTTTAAAAACAAGTTACCTGGTACAGTATTAGGTGCAATAGTAGATCCTGTAAATGCAATCCACAATTTTTTTAGAATTCCTGAACTACCACTATAGCTAAAATTGGTATATGATCCTGGAGTTGCATAGAATGCTTGAGATTTTTGTCCAAGGCATATTAAACTTGTATTGGGAATGATATCTAAACTTTGATTTTGCATATCATCAACATAGCTCTTTGTAACTGCATCTTGTGCATCAGTAGGATTAGCTACATTGATAAGTTTATTTGTATTTAAATTTATATTAGCAGTTGCAGGATTATAACCATCAGTTCTTAGATACATACTGCTAGAAATCTGATTATTATCTACATAATTCTTTGTAGCTGCATCCTGTGCATTAGTAGGATTAGCTACGTTGATCAATTTATGTGAATTCAAATTTATATTAGCACTCATACTATTAGTTCCATCTAATTTTAGACATGCACTACTAGAAGTTTGATTGTTATCTACATAATTTTTCGTAGCTGCATCTTGTGCATCTGTAGGATCAGCTACATTGATTAATTTATGTGAATTTAAATCAACATCAGTAGTGGCTGTATTGCCAACATTAATGTTGATATTTAATCCATCTGTTGTGTAACCATACAATGAATTACTACCAGCTATATTCATACTCATTTTTTATATGCTATATTTTTTTAATTCAATATAATGAGTTTTCAATACTTTGAAAATCAACACCTTCATCAAGCTTTTTTAATACATAAAGACACAAGTGTCCGCAAAAAGAAGTGTCTCCAAACTGAATCCTTTTACTATTATAATAAACAGGACTGTGTAAATATTGAACAAGTTCAACTGGAGGTGGTAGTGCATAAGAGTCAAAACTTAATTTTTCTTCTCCATCTTTATACCAACAAATCCAATGAAATCCATTTGTACTTGAATCTCCAGTATTTAATATTCCACATTCTTTGTTTTGTGTATTTTTAGGTAATTCATCTCTTACAAATACACCTCTAAAATTTTTAATTTTTAATTTTTTTGCTGCTTTTTTTAACTGAAAGTTTGTTAAGGGTACATTTGGCAATATAATTCCTTCAACATTGATATGTTTGTCCATTTTTATTACTTTATTAGATTTTTTTAGATCTCTTTAGATATAAAAAATAACTTACCTGTGTGTTTGCCTGCCTGCTTGCCTGTTTATTTCCAATCAATTTGAAATGAAAAGTTGGGTTTGGGTTCCGAAGGAACCAATGTTTTACTCTCTTTTAATTTATAATGTCCATATGCTAATGTGTGAATACCATCTTCTTGAATTACTCTTTTATCATCTTCTGCACTCAATGCTATTTTGTTAATTTCTTCTGTATAAACATCATGTAAATGAGATCTTATGACATTCATTTTTCTCATCTGATTTCTCCTGCTAAGCAGGCAGTCTTTATAATCTTCATGTGTAATATAATTTTTTACTATATTTCTCTTTACTCCTTTACATCTCTTTTTATCTTCTTCATCTATTTTGTAAGAATACAACTTTGATCTGAGTCCTATAAATTCCGTAATTTGTTTTCCTGCTGATTCATCTTTAAACATTCCTATTACTTTCTTATTTACACCTACTTTAAATCCATTTTGAACAGCTGGATGATCTTTATTAAATTCACTTGTATCAAATTTACTTTCAATATCATTAGAAATATCTTTATAAAAATCTTCTGTTTTTATTTCATAGATTAATGAATCTGTATCTGTATATAATAGTTTAGCTTTATCTTTATATTTATTTTTTATGTAATCATAATGAAATTCGTACATTAGTGTTTTGCTCAAATCTAAAATACACATACCCAAGTAAATAGGCTTATTATATTTTAGTTTTGTTCTTTTCATATGAATAGCTATCAAATTTTCATCAAATATTGTACTACTTTCATAGTTGGGTTTTGATGCTAATTTAATAGCTTCTTCTCTTTTAGAAACTAATCTCACATCAACTCTGTTTTCAATGTTCTCCATTGTCTTTCCAAATACTGAATTGTTCATAAGTTTGAAAAAGTCTTTTTCAAAGTCATTTGTTGCTTTTGTTCTTAGATTTGTATTGAGTTCAATGTATTTACTCAACCATGCACTTTCTTCAAACTTTATTCCTCTGTGAATTTTTGTTATTTTCATTCCTAATCTTTCATACAGTTTTAAGTTTTCATAGTGAATGATATAATTTTTCTTGTGATTTAAATTAGGTACTAATTTTTCAACTTTGTCTATTTTTAATCTTTCAGGAGCAAGAGGATAATCATTATGCAAATCATGTAAGTGTTCAGGATATTCTAAATCTACTTCTAATATACATGAAATAGATTTCCAATTTTTTAATTCTTCTTCATCCATCCATTCAAATCCATGTGTTGGAAGTAGTTTACTCATTGCCCATCCATATAAATTGTTTGCATCTAAATATTGTATGTATGTTGACTCCTTGTTTGAATTATATTCTTCACCAATGTGATTAGATATTTTAGATCCATATACTCTAGTAGAATTATTAGTAGACTCGGATACTTTATTATTTATATTTTCTAATTTACAAGGTTTTCCACTTTGTATTCCCTGCTTGATCGTTGACATCATTTCATCTAACCATTCAAAACCAGGTGTAGGAGGTGTTTTACTTATTTCCCATTTTAAATTTTTTTTGCCTTGTATTCCTCTATCTATTATTTCATCAATCCATTTATTATCATTAATATTACTTTTATACTCATATATTTTATTAGTCTTTGTGTAATTTTCCATATATTTATTATTAGCAATTCCTAACCTGTTAGAAATCATGCTAATACCACCTCTTATTCCTTCTTTAATCATAAGAATCATGTCATAATCACTTAGCAACTCTAATTTAACTTTAGTTATTTTCAACGCAGCGTCCCAAGCTAATCCTGGTGCTGTATAGTACCAAGCAGGATCTAATTTGTAATTGTTAAAACATACATCTCTAAAATTTTCAAAGACATCAGCTAGTAATAATACATCAGATTCATTATATAAGTTATGATAATCTTTAAATGTTTCACAATTAAACTCTTTCCATACATTTTGAGCATGTAAATAATCTTCATCACTTATTCCTTCATCGTTTAGTCTTGAATAAAATGATTCTTTTGGTGGTAGTTGTGTTTCATTTAATTTATCAATAAAGTCAACCCATTCATAAGGATAAACACCTTTTCTTAACAATAAATTGAGTTCATTTCCAGAATAGTATCTACTAATATTTTTACATTGATCTTTTGACAAATTTTTAGTTAAACTATCTAAACTAGCAGCCATAAATTTAAAACTATCTAGAAAACGGAGCTCTCTCTTAATTTCAACTTTTTTTCCTTCTTTATTCGTAAACTCATCAAGTTTAATTTCTTTAGAAAAGCTGATAT